ATACCCACCCTAGGCTATGCCATCTACGTTTAAATATTCTCTTTATTTGCACAAAGACAAAATTGCCAAATGATGTATTTCTCAGGATGTATCCCCAATGGCTGTTTTATAAACGACACAGATGCATCTGCTAGAAAAACAGAAATGTGCATTTTCTAAAGTACACCATGTTTTATTGCAGTATATAATATTTATACACACACACACACACAGAGCAAAGCTGAAAAGCAAAAATTGATGAAACTCCTGGGAAAATAGCTGATTAATAAAAGGAATCCTTATATAAAAATCCTAAAGGAACTTTTATATATGTGAGTTATCAAATATATGTATGTATGTATCTATCTATCTATCTATATATATTTCATGATGCAATAGATTTAAATGTCAGTATGATACCTGAAACTTACACAAAAAATTTTTTTAAATGACAGTTAGATTTTTCTAATAATATATGTCTTCTACTCACTGCTAAAATTTGTATTGAGCAATATGGCAGGAATGACATGAAAATTTACTATTTTAGAGGCTGCAGGGAAAAAGAAATCCTTCTACATTGTTTGGGAATGTAAACTAGTATAACCACTATAAAAATCAGTGCGGCGATTCCTCAAAAAATTAAAACTAGAAATTCCATTTGATCTAGCTATTCTCCTTCTAGGTATCATCCCAAAAGAGTTAAAAGACATCATATTACAATGATACCCATGTTTACAGCAACACAATTCCTAACAGCTAAATCTTGGAAGCAGGTTATATGTCCATCAACAGATGAATGGATAAGGAAAATATTATATTTACACACAACTGAGTACTATTCTGCCATAATGAAAACTTGAGTCATTTGTAGGAAAATGGATGTACCTTGAGATACAATGTTCAGTGAAATTAATCAGACATACCACCTTAAATATCTCATGGTTTCTTTTATATGAGAACCTCAAATTATAAAAGAGCAAAACAAAAGACAAAAAAGTAGAAGAGAGATCTTTCTCAAAGGGAAAGCAGATCAAGAGAGGGAGGGAAGACGGGTGGGAAAAGGAATTAAGATGTGTTATGGACATGTACTAACTCCACACAAGAAATGGAAATATTATGTACTGAAAACACGTACTAGAAAAAAAAATGTTTATGGTAATATGCAAATTTACCCCCTAAGTAATTTTAAGTTCAAGTTACTCAGGGGCTGGAGATCTAACTTAGTGGATGAATGCTTGCCTAGCCTGCATAAGGCCCCAGATTGATCCCTGGCACTTTCCACACCCCCCAAAATCAAAAAATAAAAAAGCACTAATCTGTGCTAGGCTATCAAAATAAAAACAACAAGATTATTTTATTCACACTGTGATTAACTTTTTATAACTTTATAAACTCAGTTCTGAAAAGAAATCAGGATGATTTTCTACTAGGGGAGGAGAATTTAAGTGGTATCAGTACAACTGAATAGAATGATTTATCTTTGTTTCTGGCTGACTCAAGTCACTTGTCAAATTATTTATTTAAAAGTTTTTTTTTTTTTTTTTTGATCTTTTTGAGACAGGGTCTCACTATGCAGCTCATGCTGGCCTTGAACTCACCTTGTAGCTCAGGCTGGTCTCAAACTTGCAGGGATCCTCCTGCCTCAGCCTCCCAAGTGCTGGGATTACAGGTGTGTGCCACCATGCCTGGCTTAAAAATATTCTTTAAAGATATTCAGTATTTTTATGATGATCTGATAAAGACTCAAGCTTCTACAGTATCTATTTTTAAAAAGACATGATTTAGCTGTTATCTACTTCCTTCACAAACCTTTTTTGTTTAGGCCCAAGTGAGATTCACACATTAACTGTGTGAGGCTCATCTGTACAATTATTTAGATACACATGAATTCTACATTTTTTAAGTCTTAAACTTACAATAAGGATTATCTGCTACTAGTAAATATGCAAACACAAATAAATAAACTTGTAACAGGAGGGGAGGGGAATGGGAGAAAAAAGAAGAATCAAGATATATTATGTACAGATACAAATTCCCTATGATGAATGTGATCTTTATGTGTATCAAAAGTGTACCAATAAAATTAATTTAAAAATAAACTTAGAACACAGATCCTAGCTTGGGCTCTAGGAAACAAGAGTAAATTGTGTATTAAACTTTACGTATCTCTCACAAAAGAAAAACATCTATCAGGTTTTTATTTTTACCACTGCAGCTTCCAGTCCCAATAGCTTCTCTAAAGTTAACGCTATGATTGCAATGTGATGTCCTTCCATGGAACAATGGACCAAAACATGAGGACCTTCCTCAGAGAATTCTCCTTACCCTTTCTTCACTCTTTTTCTTGAGGGTTCAACTCCCACCCAAACCAACCTCCCCTGTGAGAGTAAAGTCAAAGTACACTTTATGATTATATTTACACTGTGTGCTATCCGTGGCCATGCCTGCTTTTTATAGCTATTACACGAAGTATAATTTCAATACAGGAAGAAAAAACCTGTAAGAGTATAGTTCACACAATAGCAAAAAGATTAAAATTATTTCTCAAAGAGGCTGAATTTCTTTTCTAAATTCATTATATAATAAGACACTGAAATGTGCTGCAGACCTCAGTATCATGCATCTTGCTCCTCAGGGTCAATTAGTGGAAGGCTACGTGAAACAACACAAGTAACAGTCTAAGTATACTAGACCACTTTGTAAAATACGTTTCTGAATTATATCCTTAAAATATGCATTGAGAATGTAGAAAACTATCCCAGGGTAAGTATTCTATTAAAAAAAGGGCGATATATGTAGGCACAAATTCTACACATATCAAGAGTCAGGTTTCCTAGTACAAAGTCATTCACTAGCCTAATAAAAAACCACGTGTCTAGTGATGGAAAGACCAGCCAAAGACCACATCAGTACTCAATGATTGAAATGAAACATTTAAACGAAGAAAGAAAAAGCCCATGAAATGGGAGAAAATATTTGCAAATCAACTATCTGATAAGGGACTTACATCCAGAATAAATAAAGACAACCTAATTTTAAAATGGGTAAAGGACTTGAATAGATGTTTCTCAATAGAAAATATAGAAATGGCCAATAAACACATAAAAAATGCTCAGAATCACTAGTCATTAGGATAAGGAAAATCAAAACTGTAATGTTTAACACATCCAATAGTATTGCTATAATTTTTTAAAGATGGAAAGTAACTTGGTTACAATGTGGAGAAACAAGAACCTTACATATTACTAGTTAGCCTGTTGAATGGTGGAACTACTTTGGAAAACAGTCTGACAGCATCTCAAATGATTAACCAGAGTTCCAATAGGACCAAGCAATTCCACTCCTAGATAGTTGCTCAAGCAAGATAAAAATACACACCCATACAAAAATGTGTATAAATGTTCACTGAAGCATTACAAAGACAAAAACTGAAACAACCCAATTGTCCATCAGTTGAAGAAAGGAAAAATAAAATATAGTTCATTTGTACATTGAAATATTCTTTGTTAATAAAAAGAAAAGAGAAGCCTTAACATGGGTTAACCTTGAGAAGATGCTAAATGCAAGCAGGCGGTCACAAAAGGTTAAATAGTATGATTCCATTTATATGAAATGCACATGATAAATAAATCCATAGAGAAAGAGTAATTAGTGGCTTCCAGGGCCTAGGGAGAGGGGGACAGTAACCACTAATGAGTGGGGTTTCTTCATGGGATGATAAAAATGTTCAGAATTAGATAAAGGTGATGGTTGAATATACCAAAAACCACCGAAGTGTATGCTTTAAGAGTGGATTTTATGTATGTGAATTGTGCTTTAGTATGGCTGTTCTTTTTTTTTTCTTAGTGTGGCTGTTATTTTAAAAAGAAAAATGAATACACAGAAAAGCGTAACTTTAGATCAAGATATGAATATTTTAAGTGTATATTTTATTAATAACATCATGACTATGCTAGAAAGATCATAATTGGAAAGTTCCCTTTGGGGATCTTAAGGCTGACGCTCAACTGAAAAGGCATGTTTGTACAAGCAACTTAATTCTAAAAAGGTTTAGGACAAAGGCACAGGTGTCTCAGGCTTCTAGGAAGTTTTTCCCCAAATACCTCGTTCTTTTGGTATTTCTGCTTTCTCTGTTTTCTGCATGTCTATTCATCCTTGTCCATATTTCTATATCTGGCCTATTAGAGCTGAATCATGAACCCAAAAGCATAAGGCTCAAATCCCCCTTTATATAACCATAGCTCATAGCAGGGGACACAGCTCAGCAGCAGAGTGCCTGCCTAGCAAGCACAAGGTGGGAGTTCAATTCCCCTACCAAAAAAAAAAAAACAAAAACAAACAAACAAAAAAAAAAAACTCAGCCAAAATAAAGATTGAATATTAGAATTAAGGACATTTAAACGTTAGAAATAGAGGTGTGAATACTTGTTCAATCCTCTTCTCAATCTATTCCAGTTAGGATGGCATATTCCAAAAATGTTAATTACCTGATTCTTTTAAATTTTGAGAGAAAAGATCAAATTTTTCTTTTGGAAGTGTTTGTTGCTTTTTAAAAACAATCTTGTTTTGAACCAGCACACTTACTAAAATGTAGCAAAGTGAAAATGGTTCAGATAAATAAATGTGGAAAAAATTAGATCTACTGTCAGTATATGTCTTGCCTAACATCATTTGTCTTCAAAGAGCAACTAAATATAACTTGCTTTGATAGGAAAGCATTTTAAAACCCAAGCTTCCAAAAGTAACTTTAATACAAAAAACTCAGCTTAAGGTCAGCTTAAACCTAGCCAAGCAGCACCAACAGCACAATCTTACACCTCTCCTCTCAGCCCTGAAGTCCATCGATGAATTTCTTTCAGATCATCGCCTGGATGTAATACATTTCATTATTTCTATCTTTCTGAGAATGAAAAAGGGCGGAATTCTAGCAAACTGAACCAATGGTTTTAGAAATGTTGACGGCGCAGAATTCTCGGATATGTGTGGCTGAGGGACTTGTGGTCACCTCACATGTGCCATACCTGGTATGCACTGTGCCGTGGCTTCAGTTGTTATGGTTGGAGCGACTGGAGGCTGCTGCTGACTGGAGCTCACTTCTGGCTCTGTGTTCACTGAGGGAGAAAGGGCTACCTCACAGGATGAGACCTGGCTGGGCAGATGGGCTAAGAACTCCTCAGAAGCAACTTGCTCATCCTGTCCAGGGAGCTGCAGGGCAGACAAAGGAATACTGATCTGTTTGTTTGGATGGGATGTGCTCACAGGCATCTGCAATGCTGCCTGCTGGTTGGTGCCATGGGCACCAGTGGGTCCTCTGTTTGGTGAAGCCAGAGATATCCGAGTAGTCTTTGGGATGATTGGTCTGGAGATCACAGAAGGGGATGCAGACATACCATGTGGGTCTAGCTCCGTGCTGATGGCAGATGTTACATGTGGAATCAGCTTAGCAGATCCTACACAGGAGGGACCAGCATGAGCCTGAGGCTTGGGTTTTGCCATCTGTGTCAGTGATAAGGCTGGTCCATCTACCCCTCCTGTGAGCTCTGCATTTGCCACAATGTAATAATCTTCTGGAATCTCTTGTTTGATTTTCTTGATGATGACATCATTGCTGCATTCATCAACCATCTGCAACTGAGAGCCTGAATGGAGGGAGGATGGGACTACTCCTGGCCTTTTACGAGTGATGCTTTGAGGCCTTTGGGTTTGGGGTTCAAAGTCACTATCCTCATCTGTAACAGAGGATTCACAAACCATGTCAAACAGGGTGTTTTCATCTTCATACTCTTCCACAGCTTCATCTAGTTCAGAGGGCTCACTGCAATAAGAGAAGTCACAGGAGTCTCTGGTCCGATTACAGTCTAGCTTTGCTTTCACTGGTCTCCCAGGGTACCTTTCAACAGGGCTAGTCTGTGTCTCAGAAGGCACCCCAATTATACTGGGACTATCAGAGTTGAAACTTCTGTTGTCTTGGAAACAGACCCTCTCTTGTGATCCAGCTCTGCAGGTAGCTGCTAGTGGCCAATGGTAGGCATGGCCAGCACTACAGCCCCACATTGCAGTCAGGTTCCCATGGGAACCTTCAGAAAGCAAGTGTTTCAAGTTTGGAATAAGGCTGCAAATGGTCCCATGGCTGTGGGCCCAGCTGACCAATTTGGACAGATTCTCAGATGAGGTATGAAGACAATCCTCCATGTTACAGGATCAGTGGTGTCTTTCCTAAAAAGAAATAATCAAAATAAGAAGCCATTATTACTCAAGATATTCTCATATCTCAATTACTTTAATTTCTTCCAACTATGAACATTCAGCATAAAAAATACACTTCAAACTATACCTCATTAATATTACGGCATATGGTCAGGGACTGGAAGGAAATACAGGAAAAACTAAAAATGACCCATGACGTATGGTTATGGAGTTTGGAGAAGATTTTTGTTAATTTATTTTAGTGTTATAAAAATGCCTAAACAGGAAAAAAAAAAAGATAAGCAATTAAAAATAGGTGAGACAAAGACTCAGTCATCCCCTTGATAAGCTGTTGTGCATTAACCAACAAAATGCACTTCCAATGTTACTCTCTAGTAAACTTCGTTACCAGAGGCAGAGCCAACAAAGGTTTAGATCCACTCTAGGATGAATGTCAGAGAAAAGTCAAACCTCAGCAAGGCAAGAAAACAAGACAACTGGGAGTTCAAAGACAGTTAAGAGGCTAAACTTAGGTAGTGAGGAAGATGCCTTTAACAGTGAAGGGAGAACAAACTTGGAGGAGACAGGCTGTGGATCAGTAGCAAGGATGGAGAGGCTTGAGTCAGGGCTCCAGCCACTCCTAGGAGCAGGCTTCTCACTCCTGGCTGTCTGAAATTCCTGAAATACCATCTTGCATCCTACAATTAGAGATAAAGGTTGTGTGTAATGTATGCCATCATCTCAGAGTCCCATAAACCCAAGGACAAGCAACTACCGAATAAACCATTCCTTACTGGGCATGAGTGAGGATCACATCTTATGAGTCCTTGGTTGGGTAATAGTGCAGACAACAGGTAGGAAAACTGAAAGGGGGCATGCGGAGTCTGTTAACAAGGCTCTGCTAAGAGGAAGCTACACAGGAACTGGGCAGAGGGGAACAGGAATCTTCCTGTGTGGCTTAGTCTGCCTTGGTCATCTGCAGTGATGGGCCAAGAGGTGCCTTTGTGGAAGTGGGCTCTGCATTGAGGAATCAAGATAAATGCAATGCCAAGTGGCTATGCCAAGATGCCATTCTGGGACTCAACTTACTGCCTTCTCCCCATGGCTCTCCATCAGTGGGCTTACTAGCTCTGATCTTTTATGTATTACTGATGTCTCTGGGATGTGGCCACAGCTACCTCTCAAGCCTCATCCCCTACTATCAGAGCCTTCCATACTTCTTGTGATCTCATGTCTCTAAACAGTTTCTTAACTTTTTAGAACCAGCTGGGTCTCTAACACCTCTTTTTGGCTTGATATGCAGCCCTTCTCTTTTCTCACCTGGAAATCTCCTTCCAGATTGAGCTACCTCCTGCTGAAGTCTTTCTAGTCCAATGTTAACTGGTAGTTTATGAGAATATAATTACCTCATACACAGGGCAATACAGATTGAGTCCAAGCTGACAAAACTGCTGTTGATAAACCTCAATATATTCTAAGAGTAATACAAAATAGAATCGATAAGACAAAGTATTTTTTGAACTGCAGAGAAAACTTTCCACATTGTAATGATTTCCTCCAGCAGCCTAATGATTTTTTCTTACACTTTCAACTGAAAAATGACTTCGTGTGATATTTTCCCATATCTGACAGGACCACTGTGAGGTTATACTCTCAGCTTTACATGTAACTAAGGGACATGTCATTAAATACTGAAATTCAAGGAGTCCTGGCTGGCTAATTTAAGTTTATGTATGAAATATCTTAAAATAACAAACAAAGCTATGAAGTTACTAATACTAAGCTGTATGTTCACTTAAGCAAATATTCTATGCATGCATTAGTATATTTATATTATTCAAGTCAAAACCAGAAACACATTCAACAGAATCAGATGCTGTTCTACCACTGTTACAGGTTAAATCTAAAATGTCCCTCAACAATCTCATGTATTTAGAGGCAGGTTTTTGAAGTGATTGGATCATGTTAACTGCAATGTCATCAGTGGATTAACCTACTGAAAAATCATAATTTGATGGGCTTGTTGGGAGATAATGGAAATTTAGGAGGTGGAGCCTAGTTGAAGGGAGTGGGTTATGTGGGTATAACCTTAGGGATTGTGTCTGGACCCAGGACCCTCTGTTGGATTCGCTCCCTTTCTCTCTGCTTCCTGGCTACCATGAGATAAGCAAGTTTGCTCTACCATGCCCTTCCATCACGATGCTCTGCCTCACCTCAGACGCACAGCAATGTAACCAGCTGAGCATGGACCAAAACCTCTAAAACCGTGAGCCAAAAATAAAATCTATCTTCCTTTAAATTATTCACATCACGTATTTCTGTCACAACAATGAAAAACTTACTAAAACAACTTACTAAGCCCAACATGGATCATTAGGTTTCTGCAGATCAATGACAGAACACCAATACTTACTATAACTAATATTTACTGATCAATTATTTTCCAAGTACTATTTTATGACTTGACATGCAAGTAATCCTGCTATATCACTAATCCTAATTTGACTGAATTAATTATTCTCATTTTATAAATGAGAAAATTAAGTCATTTGCACAAAATAAGTTGCAGACAAATTTGGAACTTGACATGTATATAACATACTGTCATCATAATCTCTCCTTTTACCATCCCTTACCCTCCCCTCCCCAGCCCCTTCGTCTTCTGTAATAGCCTCCCTTCTATTTTCATGTTGACTCCCCAACCCCCTAGATTCCACACATGAGAGAAAATGTGATTCTTCTCTTTTTGAGACTGGTTTATTGTACTTAACATGATGATCTCCAGTTCCATCCATATTCCTGCACCTGGCATGACTCCATTCTTCCGTATGGCTAAATAATACTTCACTGTATGTATACACCACATTTTCTTTATCCATTCATCTGTTAATGGAAACCCTGACTGATTCTATTATTTGAGTTTATGTTCTTAATACTACACTCCTTCTGGCACTGTAAAGGTAGAAAAACATTATTTAAACTCTGGTTCCCTTATCACATTAATGCTAATTTGAATTCATGTTGATTTTGTAGTTACTTAAGTTGAATTTTAAGTTTTTTAGAACTATAAGAACTCAGAAGTTTCATTTTTACACTTTAGTAACATTATGATAAAAATCATTTAAGCCATTATAACAAAGGTATATGAAAATATTTTGGGAAAAACTGCATACAGAAAAAAAAATTTATATGTAAAAGGATGTTGACACTTTTCCAAAACCTGAAAAGGCTAGTTAATAGCCAAATAACAGAGAAAATGCCTAGCTGATTTCCACCTGACTCCAGTTACTACAATCTTCCCAACATTCCTTATACAGTCTTTCTTTCTAAGATTCTAACCCTTTCAAAGGGCTTGTTGTTGCTTGCTTTAATACTACCTCTCAACTGCTGATGGGTAACAAAATATTTAAAACAGAAACTGAATTACAAAAAAAAAAAAAAGACAAAGTCTTTCCCAAAAGAAGGCTACAGTGGCTTCCCTGATAAATTACGTCAGCCAAAGATGAAGTAATTCTTTTACAATGCAAGTATTTTCCAGAAAAGAGAGGAGGAGGAAGAAAGGGAGTAGGAGGGTGTACTACTTAACCTGAGTGGGCCAGCATAGCCTTTACACCAAACCTCACAAAAATCACTGCAACAAAGAAAATCACAGACCAATATTGCTATTCATATTGATGTAAAAATCGTTTATAAAACATGAGGCAATTGAATCAAAAAATGTACAGTATACTGTATACAGGTACTACACTTTGCCCAAGTAAAATTTCTTCCAGGATCAATGTATTCACAGTCTATGGGAGAAAAATTGCAATATAATTTCAACAGATGTAAAAAAAAATTGACAAAATTCCATTTTCATTTACGATAAAAGCTCTTGGTAAATTGATAACTAGGAAGTTCCTCAAATGGACAATGGGCATCTATGAAAAATCTGTAGCCAATATTATATTAATGTAAAAGAGTGAATTATTTCCTTCTAAGATTAAGGCAAGGAATACTCACTTGTACCATTTCTGTTCCACATTTACTGGAGATGCTGGCCATTGAAATACTAGAGAGGGAAAAGGGAAGATAGGGTAACAGGGAAGGGGGAAGAGACTAAAAGAAGGGAAAATGTATAAAAGGCAGAAAAATTAGAAAAGAATTAAAGCTTCCTATTTTTAGAAGATATGGCTGCTCAAATAGAAGTCCAAGAGCATTCACACAAAGAAGCTGAAGTGGTAACTGAATTTTTGAAAGTTACAGGTTGTAAGATTAGTATTTTTTGGAAAGTCAATTTGCTACATGTTACAGTAAAATACTGGAAAATTATTATTATTATGATGATGATGATGATTCTTGAGACAGGGTCTTGCTATGTAGTCCAGGCTGGCCTTGAACTCACTATATTCCAGGGTGGCCTTGAACTTGTGGTGATCCTCCTGCTTCAGCCTCCTGAGAGCTGGTATTATAGGTGTGTGCCACCACACCTGGCTGGGAAAATTAAATTTTGAAAAATTTCTTTTTTTTTTTTTTTTTTTTTGTTTTTCTCCGGTACCGGGAACCGAACTCACGACCTTGCGTTTGCCAGGCAGGCGCTTTTGCCGCTGAGCTAAATCCCCAGCCCTTAATTCTTTTTATAGTAACACTACTCATAGTAGTGCCAAAAATATATAAAATAACTAGGAATAATCCTAACAAAAGATGTCAAAGATTTCTATGCTAAAAACTATAAAGCAAGAGAAATTAAATATGACCTAAGTAAATATTGTCTCAATGCACTGGAAACTCAACATTGTTAGGTTAATCCCTAATTGACCTTTAGGTTCAATATAATTCTCATTTTGAAGGTCTCATAGGTCATGTAAAAAATCTCTGAACTTTTTACAGAGAAAATAAAGTATTACATGGTTGTACACAAGAAGGTAACTTCAGAAACATTCTGATCAGAGTTGGAATAGAGACTAGAGGTAACAATCTAGTTGGAGGTTGATGCAGTAATGCAGGCAAGATATAACAGTACACTGTCTTAAATAGCAGCAGATGG